TGTGTGTGTGTGTGTGTAATACCTTTAAGTACTGGATGTCTTTGACTGAGGTGAGCTCTGGCAGTCCAGCAGTCAGCATGAGGGCAAACAATGTGATGAAGAGGTTCCCATTCTTCCTCAAGATTAGATAGGCTTCCTCGCAGTACTGTCGGAAACTACAAGACCAACATGCACAGTTCATTATTCCTGACATATACAGGACAGTGACAGCAATTATTTGAATTCATATTGATGGGTGTGATGTTCTCTGGTGATGCTTCCTTTTATTCAGAGTAAACAACATCCAAAACAAACTCTTTCAGTATCCCATAAAAATAACAATAAGGCATCTTGAAATGATCCCCTGAATATGATTATTATAAAGCACACCTAATAATTGTTATTGCTGTTATTTCAAAGTCAACAGATTAAAAATGGCAACAAGTCTTTGGTTGAGGCATCTGTATGAGGTAAAGCTTGTTGTTAGTGTATAGTGGCTGGAGGGGTCTGGCCTCTGTTCAAACTTCTGTTTAAACATATCTGCAGATCTATGGCTAAGCTAAATGAGCGTTCCTTCATGCTGTTAATAGGTGACAGACACTTCCTTTAGGTTTTAGGCCAACCATCCGGTGACTCACTGCATTCTGACTTTATGTCAGCACACAAGGTGGTTTCAGAGGGCTCATTAATCACTGACATTCAAGAAGCTACTAGACCAAAATTATCACAATGTGTATGCTTGTTAAATAGTTCCACTACAAACGACTCAGTTGTTGTAGTGGAGTGTAGTGGAGGTATTTTATGTTTTTGTATAGGATTTTTTCTTTTTGAGCTGGTCAGGGGGTACTTGTCTGAAAATATATTTAAAAGGGGGTACAGTGTTGAAAAAAAGTTTGAGAACCAGTGGTATACAGGGTACATTTCCACCAGGTCATTTTCGCTTTCACAAAATGACTGTATACGTGTTTTCCTTCTGATCCAGGACACAATGTACTCTTTCTTGAAACCACACGTACCACACTTACTGACGTAGCAATAAACCACAATTCTGCTTCTCTTTTTGTAGATAAACACTTCAAAAGGGTGGATAATTTTCTAGCTCAGGCAGGAAATATGTATCACCAACACACAGTGAAGCTTAGTTGATGGATAACTACGCAGTTTAAGTGTTCATACTGAGAATTATACATAAGACATTTTAAAAATTTAAATACTTGGACCAGTAGTGGTGATATTTCATGTTCACAGGCTGCTGGGCAATGATTACAAAACACTCCCTAACAGGCTACTGCAATGGTAAAGAAAAAGGAGGGGTGGCTGTTTCACAATGGAGTTACACTTCTTTGCCACACATGAGAGATAAATGTTTGTTTGCATTATTTCTGAACTGTAGTAACTTCAGCTACAGGAACAGTTGATGTTACGCAGGAGGACTTGTCTCCACATGTTTACTCCTGCTGTGGTACGGCTGAGAATGTAGGTCATAAAAACACAGATTACTGAAACACACGGGTATTTCCACTTTCACAATATGACTTGCCCACTTGTTCCATCACTGATATCTGCTTGATAAACAATATACGCCTTGGCATTGCTGCCTCATGAAGCCTATGCATGGCATATCAACGTGCACATGTCACCAGTCTCAATAACAGAAACATGTTGAGGTTTGTTCCTTTTTTTACACTGCTGATCACTTCAACAATACTATACTTGAGCTTAGTCATGTATATCTGGGAATAATAATGACTTAAAGTAAGTATAAAGACCAATGTCAGAATTTTGCACATTACTTTTAAGATATATTTGAATTATATTTTCACTTGTTGTTATTAAATGATCCACCTCCTGTGTAAAAAATGCAACAACAACAAAGATTATATTATGTAATAATATTATTGGATCCAGAAATACTTGACTACAACAGGGGATGTTCTGCTTTCTAAAGTAGCGAGTAAGCACACCTATCTAGACTTTAGGTATTTTTACCGGATCAGCACTTAAATGTTTCAAGTGACTGGTTGCAATAGATTGAGTGTTATATTTTTCTAATTCTGTAAATTTAACATAAAACCAAAAAGTTTGTGTCTGAAGCATTCAGGGCATTAAATATCAGAGAAAAATTACCAAGAGATCTGATCCTGATACTTCAATACATGTTTGCAGTCTCCTTATGCCTGAATTTTTACATCAATCCACAGTTTTATAACTATAAGTTTATAACAGAGAACATGAATGAACTGCTGCGACAGACTGTGCACTAAAAATGCGTCAACATGCATGTGAGTCCTTCCCAGCCGGTCTGATGTGCCACACCGATGCTCACTGCTTCATCCTATTTATAGCACAGCACTGACCCGATACTGAAGATGGAATTATAATTTCCTGGAGGTTTAATAAAAATGCCATCTATTAATAATTAACTTCAAAAAATGGCCATGGCTACATTGCGGTAGAACAACAACAGCACCAACCTATCCTGTAAGTACTTCTACAACATAGTCTCTAACTGGCGGAACAGTATTTAGAAGTTAAAGTTGGATAAGATTTGAATACTAATGTAGAGCAGAATACCCTTTAATACTAAAGATATCACTAAAAGCAAGGTTCACACAGAACCTTTGTCAGATTCACATTACAACATATAACCACACAACCACACTTCCTGTCAATAATGTGGCTTATTGTGTCTGACCTCCCAAATAAGACTTCCTGCCAGTGTCCACCTGAGCGCAGTGGCACAGATGGCCTGTCTTTGTGTATGTGCATGTGTATGTCTGTGATGTTGATCAAAGCTGATATACACAGGTCTGGAGGGACCCGACCATCTGTTTTTATTATTAAATAACATTATTTCTATAACAGGAGAAAAGAGAAAGACACAGAGAGAGAGAGACAAAGACAGATGGAAGGAGACAGTCAGAGAGTTCAGAGGAAGAGAGGGAGAGGTTCATTTTAATCAGTGTTTCGGTCCCCTGAGCTGCCATGCTAATGTGCGTGTGTCCGGGAGGATGGCATAATTTCGCTGATGGTTTTGACCCACTTAGTGTTGTCACATGACTTGCTAGTTGGGCTCAGTCACGTGACTATTGTGGAGCTGCCAAGTGTGAGCAGAAAGAGAGGCTGAGCTACAGTGAGTGTGGTGGAGTCACATGGCTACTTTTGCTACTCAAACAAGGTGGTTTTGTCTGCTGTGGTGGTGTAGCAAGTCACACTGTTATTCTGATTTCATTATGTATGCAGAGTTGTTGTACAGGCAGCCTGTAATGGGTTTGGCTAATGGAATTACTTTGGCCTCCTCTAGTTCAAATTAGAAATATAATGACAAAAATGAATACAGATAAGTACCTACTAGTATCCCTTCCAACATAATGTAATCCATGCAAGAGCCACTTACCGTAATATTAAACTTAATAGGGACCTATGATGTTTAATGATATCAATTCATTTCAAACAGTTTATTGTGTTTGTACAATTTACTGTAACTTCAAATAGGTGTAACCTTGAGCCTTAGATTCTGATTTCTGTGGCAATATTAAAATAAAGTGTTGGTCTCCACTCACTGAACTTCTGCTAAAAGGTTTTCAGCACTTACAGCACTGGACTACAGACTCTCACCTGAGACTGGTCGAAGTGGATGATGACTTTCAGGTCGGTCGGCCGGTCATTGAGCCCATCGGTGATGGCCGTTCCTGGTGCGGGCTCCAGCTGTGGGGAGAAGCAGGCCTCCAGCCACTCCATGCACGTCATCATCTGGACTTTTTGCATCCTTTCTTCACTCATACGAAACATCTTACTGCGAAAGTCCTTCACCTCCTGGTCATTTATGCCATCGAGTTCGTGGAGACCTAGTGGTGGTAAGGAAAGGACAATGTCACAGCACTGCTATAAAGTAGATTAAATAATAATTGGTGGACTGATTAAATTAGCAATATTTTTGTAACAATAGCTCTAATAACATGTTTTGAGAAGAATGAGAACTCAATCTAATTAAATTATAATTATGTCTCAAGTATGGACCTTAATCAGTGTGTGTGAATGTGAACTTGCATGAAGCTCGTAAAGATCAAGAGCGTTTTAACTAGGAAACTGTGTATATTAGGGTATCATGCTTAAATGCAAAGGCTTTAACGTTCATTAAATATGCATAAACACCTGTGCAACACTTGATGCCAGGCATATTCACCAGGTAGTAATGAATGTGTAAAAATGATTACAAACAGCAGTCTCTCATGGGATTAGAGCAGAGCCTCCTAATATTCACACTAGTACCAAATGCCACATGTATGAACTGTAGTTTGGCTCATCATTATACTTTATCTCTCTGCTCCCTGTTGAGCTTTTGTCTTTGTGTTTTTTATCAAAGGGGTGCTGCACAATACTCTCTTGGTAATGAAAACAACATGTTGACATTTAAAGCCATTTAACATTCATATGACCCCTCAGCATTCAAAGAAGGGCTCTAGACCACATTAGTTGCATTGTGTGAGTGTGTAGGCAGGTTTGTGTGACCATATTTCTGCAGGGAAAAAAACAAGAAAACATGGTTGCCTGTGTGAGTGTGTAATACTTTGTTACTGTGCAATGCACGAGGTTAGGTGTGTGTGTGTGTGTGTTTGTGTGGGGGACTATCCAGACGTGCCTGTGGGGTTCCTTTTGAAAACACCACTTTAGTCTGACAAAAGCCTTTAAAAGATTGTGTCAGACAAAAGTGGAGCCAGGAGGGGAGAATATCAATATCGTCTGAGTCTCCTTCAATTAGACTCAGAGCCCCTTCTCTCCCTCTTCGCCTCTCTTCATCGGCAGACGTCTGCTGTGACCTAAGGACTTCCATAATCCTGGATATCTCAGCCAGAAGAGGGCTGAATGTGTGTGTTTGTGTTTGACTGCACTTGTTAGAAAATAAGAGCTGGTTCTTTATTCTTTTCTGTATTTGCATTTCACTGTATAACTATTTATATGACACATTTTTTTAAAAATGTTTTTATTAATGTGCATGCATGTTTCACACTCCAAAAAATAAGCAGTTATTTTTATTATTGACTCATCTACATGAATGAATCATTTTTGTCTTTAAAATGTCAGATAATACGGAAGTTAAAATTTCCCGCAGCCCGAGGAGATTCATTTAAACTGCTTGTTTTATTTCACCAACAGTCCAAAAGCAAAGATATTTTCTTTATGGTCATATATAACAAAGAAAAGTAACAAATCATCACATTTGAGAAGATAGAACCAGCAAATTACTAAAATTATGTACCAATTACATATAGTTATTATAGATGCAGAATAATTGTTGCACCTATAATAGCTACTGTATTGCTGGAATATATGATATAGATATATGAGACTAACTTAAGATTTTTGCGTCAAGCAAGAAAGTTTTTTTTTCCTCTTATACGTTAATAAATATTGTTTCATTGAAAGTTTCAACACATGTTAAATCACGTCAGAGGACTGCGCTGTTATAATAGTACAGATCAATCCCGTCTGCTTCTCTAAAAGGCCTCATCTTCACCAGAGATAACGCAAACTGACAGGTGATGGAGGACATGTCAGGAACACGTCCAGTTAATCCTCACGCTTCTCTATCAGACAGCAGGGCCACTGATAGGAGCCAGCTGCAGATGGGCTTTGGGTCTGATGGCTGGTGTGAATGTGCCGAGTAGGAGAGCTACTTAGCGTACTGGAGGAGGTGCTTAAGGCTTGTTGTGTGTGGAGAAAGATTTACTGTTCCACTTACCAACTCTAAGTGCTTTTCTTTATTGGGAATGTCAAACAGGGACAGTAAACGAATCAATCAGGGAGGGAGGAATGTGTGTGAGAGCTTGCATGATAATCTGCCATTTTAACTTACGTCTTAAAAAGTGATGCTCTTACCCTTGCTAATGAGCACGCCGATTTTGGAGTCCAGCAGGCGCTCTGCCCGGCCGCAATTGCGCGTCACCAGCTTGAGGACCGGCAGGAAGGGGCGAACATCGCACAGCCTGCGAGTTTCGTCCTCCAGTTCTTCGTGAACGGCTGCCTGGTTGACACACTCGAACATGTGGCTCTCCATTTCGCCCAGGGCGGGAAACAGTGGGAATGACTGAGCCTGCTTCCATAAAAGCTGCAAGAGAAGAGAAGAATTAGAGTTTCACTGAAGTGCTTTTGCACTACAAAACCACAGGGAGTGTTTTTATTATCTCCATTAGACTCAATTAAATAAATTCTACTTAGAATTTGTGTAACCAGAATAAACAGCATCTTTGTTTTTGGCTTGATGGCCTTTATGAGATTATCTAATGGTTTTTGAAAGGGTATGAGAAAACAAGGGTTATAGGATGTTCTTAAGCCATACAGGACCATCAAACTGCTCTTGGTGGGAGTTGCACCACGCTAACATGAACATTAAAAAGCTAATTTACCAAGGGCCTTAAAATTAATAAACACAACATATCATAATGATGTGATATATTGATGAAAGTGTATGTTTCATGATCAAGAACAAGTATGAGTCATGGTAACATGACACAGCTTTTGGGTGAGCCAATCAGGATGTGAATAATATGTCATCCAGCCAATCCTACCATGATTCACGTCCCTGCACCCCCACAGCATGATCACAGGGTTGGGTGTCAGGTTGTGTGTGTTTGTCTGAGGTTATAGAGCTATGATGTAGCATAGTGGAACAGGACAAGTTTGTCCTCTCAACAAATATCTTCTTCTCCAGGACCACTTGTGATTTTATGTTATGTTGATCACATCTCTCAACAAACCACATGCAAAATGCGTGAAGGATTTAATTATTTGATGTTCTGACAAACATGCTTTAGAAAATGACTGCCATGCTATGAGCACTTGTCACATAGTTACGTCCATGTTCATGTTCAAGTTTATACGTCACAACAAGTTACTCAAACAGTTCAGTTCCACAAAACATTTTCAAACAATCTGCTTTCTGGGAAATCTGATCTGATCTTTATTAATACAGTATGAATGAAACACAGTCTTTCCTAAGCCTACTCATCTTGGCTTCTTAATAACCAATAAAGAGTCTGGTACAACACTGTGTGGAAGGCCTGCAAAGGTCAAAGGTATATTCTGCCCTTTGGCGAAAATAATTGCATTATACCCTTCTCATTCATTTACTAGAAAAGTCCCTGAGGAGTCTCCCTCTCTTTCTTGCTTCAGTGACGTATAATCTGTCAGAGCTTTCTGCTGCTTCTGGGAATGAAGATCCCTCATGTGTGCGTGCCAACAGACATCTTTTATGCATGCACACCCACAGACATTTAGTCCAATGAACTTAAAAAGACTCATTCAGCATATAGTTCCATGAAAAGCAAACATTACTGCTAAGAGAAAATATCTGTGAATATCAGACAAAGTGAAAGCAGTCTGTATCTTTGGTCACATTATGAAGCCAGAAGTGATTTCCAGAAAATGGTAAGCAGATGTTATGTACACACTCAGACCGACTTGTTTACTTGCTATTCAGAACAATCTCCTCAGGCTTTGTCAAGCATGTCTGGGGAAAACAGGTTGTGTGTGCAATGCAGGATATGTTTTCCACATCGATCCAAATATAACAGAATGGTTTTATATTGGCTGTGAGAAGGCTTTGGACTATAACCCAAAAAATATAAATGCTGTGCATTGTAATGCCATCCAAGGCCTGAATACACACTCTTGATTCAACTCGGAAGTCATTTTTGAGGTTGTTTGAGATGATGTAATGGAATACATGTGTTCCTCTGACAAACACCTTTCAGTTTAACAGCCTTGCATTGTACGCGTGTTGACATTTTTTGTGGTCACTCATCACATTACAGGGGACCCTGTGATTCAACATAAATGATCATTTCCAACACCTTCACGCTAACACATACTTCGTGCCATAATGTAAGTGATTTCCTTAACAACTTCTAAAAGAGCCATTGAGGCTGTGACTTCTAACCTCCACTTCACAAAGTTAGCTGCAGTCACGCATGATGTCATGAGCTATTTGCATTCTGAAAGCAACAGCTAGTCGCAAACAAAAAACACCCAGCCAGCCGCACCAGCCAAAACAGGCATTAGATAATGTCTAACTGACCAGCTGTGTGTGTGTGTGTGTGTGTGTGTGTGTAAGTATACATGTGTGGGATTGTAGACTGTGTTTTTCCCTATTAGGACAATAGGCCAAGAGGCCTGTAGGGACAATAACAGAATGTCAGGACACACAACAAGCACATTACTAATCTCCTTTTAGTGTGCTGAAAGTTAATTTTATTAGAATCAATTCATTATCTGTTATGTCGTAAAAAAAAACACAACTGAAATAACCTCGCCCTCGGCAGCAACATGTGGCATTAAGTAAAACTTATAAAGAAAAACTTTTTTTTTTTAGCCCAAACCTGTGCCCCCACCCACCCAGCGGCGCTCACCAGTTTGATGTGCTGAATGGTGGCCTCGCGTGGTACTTCCATCTGGATGTAGATACCAGTGGGCAGCAGAAAATCCACAGTGATCTGGTCCAGAGCATGGCCGGCCAGGGGCGAGTGGGCCGCCCATATGTCCAGGAGGTCTGTCATGGCAGGAGGCATGGCAAGGGGCACCACACACCACCTCAACCATAAGGACCTGGAGGGACAGAGGAGAGAAACAAATAACACAATTTAGACTGAAATCCATGGTGTATTGTATTATAAAGAGGAGACATTAAAAACAAGCTTTATTTCCCATTTATTCAGATATATTTGTTCTCAATAGGTCACTCTGGTGATTGAAGGGTGTTGATAAGATCAAATCAGCCTGAAAATGTAACAACAGAGGAGGAAATGACTGCTGCAAGTTGAAAACTATTTAATTTCTTTTAACATACAATGCAACCAACCTAAAGACAAACACGCTTCATGTAAACATGTTACATTCTCATGTTGTAATGACTAACACTTTCCTGAAAAACTTGCAGCTCAGGCTGGGATTCCAGAAAGCCATTAGTCCATTCCTCAAAGCTAACTCAGTTGTTTAGGCTCATCTGAACCTGGTTTAAACTATCAATATAACTGCACAGGCACTCTTGCAATTCTTCTTTTCATTAACAACAAGTTGACAGATGCAAATGATTCAGTGTCAGTGTGTCCCTGTGGGGGCAGCACTGTGCTGAGTGCAGTCTGTGGACGCTGGCTTTAAGTTGGGTGAGGGCCAGTGCTCAGAGGAATGCCCACTAAGCAAACAGAACAAAAGGTCAGCCTGCCCTCCCCACATCTGACAATCTAGTCCCTCCGGCAGAGAACACACACACACACACACACACAAACACACAAAGAAAACACTCACACTTACAGATGGATAAAGCATGTATAAAAGTGCACGCTAATACACATGCACAGTGCACACACACACACACACACACACAGAAAAACATAGAGCGACTGCTGCAAAGATAATTATCAAGTAAGGCAGGAGGGGGTTAGCCTGCCACAGGTTCTCTCTACATGTGCGAAAGCACTGGCTGAGGAAGGCTATTTCTGTCTGCCAGTGAGACGTGCAGAAGACTCATATCTCAGGATTCAGTGCATGCAATCTAACTGTGTAAACATGCAACTCAAGTACACAAAAACAACAAAGTAAACTAAACAAACAAATGCACACATGTGGACCCATAAACACATGCATGTTAACTGCAGCAAGTTCCATTGAGCTGCAGTAAGTGGCTTCCCAGCTGCTGGTGTAAAAAAAGCCCACAGCCTGGTTTCCATTTGGGCTTAGGCCTCAACCACAGCTGTACCGTCACACCACTTCCACCTGCCTTTTTCTCATTACCTAGTCCTCAAGTGGCCTAGTACATTAACTCTTCCACTAGGCCACAGGTCCATCTCCATTTCGTCTCGGTCCACCCATTAAAAGTGACAGCCCTGATTGCCTCTAATGGTCTTTCCCCCTCTAAGTTAAGTGCTCGAGCTAACAGCAGATGAGCCGTTGTTGTGCCACGTGCCTGAGGATGGTGCAGTATCTGCTGTGCATTTGGAGCCACGATCTCAGCCACTTAACATTATCAGCCATGCAAATGGAAACAATCTTGTGTGTGTGTCTCTGTGTGCTGTTCAAACTGTAGACTGCTGTCTGAACATCTCTTAAGGGACTTTGCAGTTACTGCATGTGATAAGGGGTGACGCAGACAAAATCAGTTAAACACAACAGACACAACCACACGTATTATACTACATAGGAATGTTCACGTAGGAAATAACTCCTACGTACGCAAGACAATGTTTTACTCACTGACACAAACACAATACCAGACGACAATAAGAAAAATACGCAACAATACAAGAGACCACTCAAAATAACAGTTAGAGGGCAGACAATGGCGGGCCTGTAACGTCACAAAAGGTGCACAGTTACACACATGAAAAGTAACATGACACCCAGCATGTCTGTCTGATGCGCTGACAACACTGGGTGCTCAGGGATGGATGAGCAAGTACATGTGCATGCACGTCTATGCACATAAACACTTGTTTCATTAATTATGGGCTTCTAGAATGACGTTTTCACACCAGACAGCTTGAATACTGTCTCATCCAACTGTGATGCCGACACACTCGGCCTCCCTCTGTCTCTCTCGCACATGCAAACACACTGTATATACACAGGTGAGCGGGGTTATTGAGGATGTGTTGGCAGACAACCAGAGGTCTGCTGCGAGGTCAGGTTTCAGTGGCTGGATCAGAGGAGAACAAGTGGGTTTGCAAGATCAGGGAGAAAGAGAGAGTTTCATGTGACAACAAACAGAAGAGCCTGAAGGGTATCCGTTCGGTTAGCAAACATTAGCAAAACGATGTTTCACTATGGAGCCTTCAGTCCAAAGCTCCCAGGCACACTTTGATGATTACTTGTGTTTGAAGGTGCAGGAATATGATCCAGCTCCCATTTGCTTGTTTTCTGTGCAAACCAAGGCGGAGCTTGTATTTATGTAACAGCTACAAAAAAAAACAGCTGAAATTCGATGCAATAACTGCAATTTGGTGTCTAAATTTATGCAGGACATTCATTATTGTTCCAAATGTGCCCTTTCTTGTTTTCCTTCCACAAACTCAGCACACAGCTGGGATAAAAGAGAGAACGGTCGTCTGTTAACATCTTTGAAACTTCATGTCTGATCAAATATCTGTAGAGGGGTGTGTCACCAATTTAAAGGCGAGTTGTTAGATCAGAGGGAAGTATGCCTGAAAGACAAACTGGTTTGGGTTTTGTGAAAATGCTACTGACTTCCACAGGTAGACGAGAAGACGTAACAACAAAACCCCCAGCATACACTTGACTGCAACCAAGCCATACCTCATAATACAGAAGAAGCAAATCATTGCTTGTAACGGGAGTAGTTCCTCTGAACCAGTGACAGTGACATGTTGTCAAGGCTTTAATGCCCAGATGCATTTATGGTTATTTAAACACTAGTGTTACTCAGCACTCTCTTTCTAAAGCTCTCTCTGTCTGACAGTAAGAGGCCTGTGAGGCTGTCCACAATGGAGTGTGTGTCCACGCGTCTGTGGGTGTGACTGATGAGAGAAGGGCTAACATAAATGGTGTGTGTGTGTGTTGTGGTGCTGTGTTGTGTGTGTGTGTATATAAAAAGGTCAAGCCTGGTGATTAAGGGTCCTGTGACACATTTTCTTCCACACTGTGCTAAAAATAAATTTCACAAAGAGGATCTAAGACCTCTTCACCTCCCCACTACAAACACTGTACTCCTGCAAATGAGTATGGAGACAGCACTGAGACTGAGTCAGCATTTCCACATCTGGGCAAGCACAGTGATTGTGTGTGTGTGGTTGTGTGTTTGGCTGTTGTTGTGTTATGATTGTGAAGTAAAGTGGGATGGTAATATGCAAAAAAAATAAATAAATAAATAAAATTAAAAAAAAAGGTTCCTATGGCTCCATCAGGATTTCTGTGTAAATATGTTATTTAATGGACACTTTCAAAGTGTCTCACAGAACCAAACAAGACCACAGAAGTCAAGAAGTGCTCATATTTATCCGTGCTGAAATGATTAGTCAACGGACAAAGTTTATCTCAGACTCACTGGCACGTCACAGCCGCCACCACATATCTTGTTTCGCTTTCAGCCACTAACCACAGTGGCACAGAATGATACCCACCATAAATGAAGGCGTAACAAAACAGAGCTGGATGCTACTGTACTGTACTCACACAGTTTGTTCTCGGTTCTTGTGCTTAAAAACATTTTCTTGCCTACGGACACAAATATTTATCCCAGCAACAGCGCGTGGGGTATTCGGGGAATACCTTTTCTCTTTGTTTCTGATTACTAAAAACACCTCAGGTGACTCCCGCAGAGAAAAGTAACCTGTCAGAGTCCTGGAGATGAATGAGCAGTCTTTGTAGCTTTGTGTACAACATACTGACTGTATTCAAATCGGACTGAATATTAGTGTGTGTTGGCCTCTGTGTGCGTGTGTGTGTGTAGGTTAACAGAAAAGCTGTTAAGCTCAACAGTATGTGTTTGTCTGGGTGGTGTGTGGATAAGCGGTCAGCTGGTGTGTGTGTGTGTGTGTGTGTGTGTGAGTCACCAGTCGAGCAATACTAGCTCTTACTGTATTTAGGAGTGGACGTAGGTGGTGGCTGTAGACAGTGAACACACACTCAAGCTAGACATGTTTGTGAGGGTGCATGTATGAATATTTGTTTGTACAAGTGACTGCAGTGTGTTTGCATTACGTTTAACCTCTCAACTGTATCTGCTTCTTTTTTTTCTTCTTAATCTTTGCTGCATCCTACAATTATTTCATGCTTCAGTGGCTCAGTTCCTCCACAGGGATCGGTTTCATCTGTTACCAATCAACTCATCATCTTTATGCCATTTCCTACAGGAACTAGAAATGAGGAAGTGTCATGAAACCAAATCCCCTGTAAAAATATGCTCACAGCTACTGCCGACAAACCGTCTCCGCATATACTGTATCTGAGAGGAAACGTGAATAAAGTGAATGAGTGAGAGTGTGTGGGCGAGTGTATTTTTGTGTTTGTAAGGTTTGTGTATGTGTGAACCGTTCACATCCGGAGAGCTAACAGCGCTGCATCGTGCTAACCACCTCCAGTGACACAGTGGCACATGCCCACCTCTCAGGCAGGAAGCAATGACACAAGACAGGAAATGAGTGACAAGCAACAACCATAGCAAAAGTCCCCGACAGTCATTCATAAAAAGATGATGAATGCTGAATCACAAGCTGAGCTGCTAGTCTTATTCCTGAAGAGCTATTTTAAATGTTGTTTACTGTTTTCTAGCCAAATTAACATGATCTCAATTAAGAGGAGTGAAAGAATATAAAATCTCTTTGCATGGCTTCTTGTATGGATAACCATCCATAGCACGCACATCACCACCATGCCTCTGTCTAAAGGATTATTTCAACAGATTTTGGTCATTTGGGCAGAATGAGGACAGCTTCCATCTCAAATCAAAAGCTGTGTTCAGACTGAAAGCAAAGTGAATTTTAGAGGCAGCAGGACAAGAGCAGTAACAGTAAAAAGGAAATACACACAGACACACAAACAGTCTTAGCACAGTTGATGTGTACATTGCCACTGTAACTAGCTGCTGCTAACGT